TAGTCGTGTGTGTGTGTGTGTGTGTGTGTGTGTGTGTGTGTGTGTGTGTGTGTGTGTGTGTGTTTTGAGATATTGACAGAATATACTCTGCCTTGAAGGGTAAGGAGGCGTGAGGAGTGGGGCAAGTGAGATTTTCTTTGCTTTGGATAGTTATAAAATTTTCAGTGTCTCATAACTGTTCTGATTTTCTACGTGACCATGTTGGCATTCACAGCTGACCGATTGAGAAACACTGGTCTAGCCCAATATCAATAAATGCTTTGCATTTCTGATAGCCTTCCATCCAAGGTTATCAAAATGCTTTACAAACATTAATGAATTAGGCCTCATAATATTACTTTGAGGCTCTAAAACTCCCTTCCTGTTTTCACAAGTAAATTTGCTATGCAGGATAATGCATGCCTAATAAGGTGGTCCTCTTCCCATGTTACAACATATTTTGGTATTCCTTGTGTAGGAAGGATCAAATAGCGTGTATAAACACATTACTAAATCCATGTTACAGCTCTGACATCAATGGGACAACTTGCATGAGTAAGGACTCTTCCCATGAAGTTAGAGTGATAAGATTGAACCTCCAATCTATATCCAGAACAGTTTAATAAAGAGATTTGATGTATACTCTGTTAACACTTTCCAAATCTTGTTTCTATAATTTCAGTAAACTATTCCATGTCCGACCTGTAACCCAAGGAGATGTATATAGAGCAGAAACTGAGGAAATCCCTAAAATATTCCAGGTAACAGGAACCTAAATAATTTTACAAATAAATACAATTTGTCTGTTATAAAAGTTTTTCCGATATATATATATATAGATAGATATATAGATATATATATTTTTTTTTTGCTCAGATTCTGTATGCTAATGAGGGTGAATGCAGGAAAGATTTGGAAGGAGAACCAGCACAGACAATGGAGAAAACAAATTTTCTAAATCACAAAGGTCATGAATTTATTCCTACATTATACCACTTTCCAGCCAACTGTGAGGCCTGTGCCAAACCCCTCTGGCATGTCTTTAAGCCGCCCCCTGCCTTGGAGTGTCGAAAGTGCCATGTTAAGTGCCATAAAGATCACCTAGATAAAAAGGAGGAATTAATTGCTCCATGTAAAGGTAAGGAGCTGTACCTATTATGTTTTTTGTAGCTTGAAACATTCTTTGCATTTCTAGCTAAATACTTCAAATTACCAGATGAAAACAAAAATAAATTAATGGTAGGTTTAGAAAAATCTTTACTGGTAAGGATAGTGTTAAAATAAAGGGACAGCTAACACATTGCCATTAAAGAGGCAAACTGTGCCCTGCCTCCACCTGCTGCAGGAGGTTAGAGCATGATTCTAGAGGATTATATGCAGAGAGGCCCTAGGAGGGGAATACTAAGGAGCACCCATTGCCACATGGATCCTCCGACCATTCTCCAGACCTTCATAGAGGGACACATGGGGGCCAGAGAGGATACTGCAGCCTTAAGACTAGAGCAGTAGCCTTGGAGTGGCTCTTCATCTATCCCCTGCGCTGAAGGGGAGCATTCCTCCTTTGTGCTCCCACAGAGCAGTACACATCCCTGTACTATGGGTGTGTGTTTCTCTCCAGAATTTGGGCCACGGAGCACCAACACAGCTTTATTAAGACTAAAATTAAAGTAGACTAGTCAATCTCCATTATATTAATTATATTAACATAGACAGACTTGCAAAGTTTTATGTTTAATTTCTGTAATTTCCCCTGATATTTATTATGTGTTTTACAAATATCTGATGCATTTCAGTAAAAATTTGTTATGCATGGAGATTCCAGCATTATCCTAGCAGCATGATTATCATAACACTATAAGGATTATATTGAGGATGATTCCTAGTTTTTTCACTGAACAGTCTTCTTTCTTCTCTTATTTATAGTGAGTTATGATGTAACTTCAGCAAGAGATATGTTGTTGTTGGCATCCTGTCAGGATGAACAGAAGAAATGGGTCACGCATTTAGTAAAGAAGATCCCCAAGACACCCCCATCCGGTTTCATTCGTGCTTCCCCTAGAACCCTGTCTGCAAGATCTTCTGCAAATCAGTCTTTCCGAAAAGTTGTTAAAAATGCTTCTGGAAAAACTAGGTGAGAAATTAACTGTAAAATTTCTAGTTCTTTTTAATGCAAAAATGTCTGTCTGTGTGTATCAGACATGGGAGCATTGTTACTAATTCTGCAATTAAAGTTGTGCTGAACTTTTCACTTACAGCAGAATTAAAATGACTTTGTTTCACAGTTTCATGATTGAAAATAGTCTTCAGGAAAAACAGGTTCAAATCATTCCATTTTGAAATTTAGCTCTGAGAATCTCATCTTTCTATTTTGAGTGATGGTCCATATGCATATTCCACTAATGGTGTGCGTGTACCACCTGCACTTGAGTTGAGAGCCTTTTGGCCAGCATATCTGCACCATGCACATGCACCCTGCAGCTCCTCCTGTTCCTCAGTGAGTGGATAAGAGGTGGAGAACACCATCTGCCATCAGTTTCTCTGTCACCTCTTGGTATCGAGACAGAGCAATTGTTGTCCATCCCTCTGTATTCCAGTTTAATAGTGTGTTCGTATGACCTCTACTGTCTCAGGGAATCACACAGTCCTGGAAAATATAAAAATTGCAAATTATTCACATCCCAGGCCTGTAAGAACGGGGAGGCAATATTTCAGATTTTTCTGTTCTAGAGCCATAGAGCTGACATCAAATCCAGGTTGACCAACCCCCCAGTACACTCCGCTCCGAAGAGTGCACATGCGGGCTTCTTACCCCTCAAATGGTCATACTCCATGACCCATAAGTCGACAAAAATGGAAAAGGGGCCCGCCAAAGAAAAAAATCAGAGCACAGGAAACTCTGGCAGATCCCTCTCTAAGAGTTGTGCAAAGAGGAGCTCTCCTCCCCTGCACGATTTTATCTCAAGTTTCATAGCTGCACATGGCAACTGTAGAAGCTCAAAGAGTCTCAATCCTGAAGAATCTCTCCGGTCGGCACTGCCAAGATCCCCACGAACAAGGGATGCCACCAATCCTTGATTTATTGCCTTAAAAAGCTACAGTTTACCACATTTGTAATATGACTGTATATTTACATTCTTCTACTTTGGCGGAACACTAGTTGCATCCTGTGTTCCTTAGCTTATTTTCTAGCCAAGTTAATCACAGATGTTGGTATTGGCAAGTGTGGATTTTTTTTAAATTGACGGTAGTATATATATTCTTCATTAACACCTTTGTATGCAGTATCAAAACTTAATTAAAAAGAACCTTCTTTAAAGATACCATACATACACGATTCCTATGCTTGCATCTCAAGCCCCTGCACAAGAGAGCTCTTTGTGATTTCCTTAGCTCTTAGATTCTTTACCCATTGAGGCAGTCACAGTTAGCACAAACTCTTCCCCATGCACAATTCCAATTGATCAGCTTCCTCCAGAACCTTCTTAGTCAGCTCCTTTCTGAATGCAGTCAGCAATTGATCTCTTCGTGTAAGCTGCATGCCAGACCTCACCCACTGTTACTCCAGCTCTTTTTTAGAACATTCTTTATTTTAGACACTCCACTGGATCCTTCATTGTTCTTTCCCTTTTCATTCTAATTAATTAGTTTTAGTTGGTGCTGAGCTTTTAGACTCAAATTTGAATAGCAGCTTCCTTGGAAACATTGGTTGTTTCCAAGATAACTTACATCTGGGGTTTGAGGCTGCTACTTCATCTTTCTGTCTGTCGAAGCTTAAAGCAATTGTCTTCTAAGAATTCTTAATTTGCCTGTGCCACGTTAGAACAGTAGCTTTATCTTTGGCACATCTGTCTGTCAGAACATAAGAACGGCCATAGTGGGTCAGACCAAAGGTCCATCAAGCCCAGTATCCTGTCCTCTGGCATTGGCCAATGGCAGGTGCCCCAAAGGGAATGAACAGACAGGTTATCATCAAGTGATCCATGGCCTGTCACCCAATCCCAGCTTCTGGCAAACAGAGGCTAGGGACACCATTCCTGCCCATCCTGGCTAATAGGTCCATCAATGGCTATCTTCCATGGAATCTATCTAGCTCCCTTTTGAACCCCACTTAATATTGGCCTTCACAACACCCTCTGGCAAGGAGTTCCAGAGGTTGACAGTGCGTTGCGTGAAAAAATACTTTCCTGTGTTTGTTTTAAACCTGCTACCTATTCGTTTCATTTGGTGGTCCCTTGTTCTTGTATTACGAGAAGGAGTAAATAACACTTCCTTATTTACTTTCTCTATACCACTCATGATTTTATAGACCTCTATCATATCCCCCCTTAGTTGCCTCTTTTCCACGCTGAAAAGTCCCAGTCTTATTAATCTCTCCTCATACAGAAGCCGTTCTATACCCCTAATAATTTTTGTTGCCCTTTTCTGAATCTTTTCCAATTCCAATATATCTTTTTTGAGTTGGGGCGACCACATCTTCACGCAGTATTCAAGATGTGGGCGTACCATGGATTTATATAGAGGCAATATGATATTTTCTGTCTTATTATCTATCCCTTTCTTGATGATTCCCAACACTCTGTTTGCTTTTTTGACTTCTGCTGCTCACAGAGTGGATGATTTCAGAGAACTATCCACAATGATTGCAAGATCTCTTTCTTGAGTGGTAACAGCTAATTTAGACCCCATCATTGAATATGTATAGTTAGGATTATGTTTTCCAATGTGCATTACTTTGCATTTATCAACATTAAATTTAATCTGCCATTTTGTTGCTCAGTCACCCAGTTTTGAGAGTCATTTTGTAGCTCTTCGCAGTCTGCCTGGGACTTAACTATCTTGAGTAGTTTTGTATCATCTGCAAATTTTGCCACCTCACTGTTTACCCCTTTCTCCAGATCGTTTATGAATATGTTAAATAGGACTGGGCCCAGTACAGATCCCTGGGGGACACCACTATTTACCTCTCTCCATTCTGAAAACTGACCATTTATTCCTACCCTTTGTTTCCTATCTTTTCACCAGTTACCAATACATGAGAGAGCCTTCCCTCTTATCCCATGACTTCTTATTTTGCCTAAGAGCCTTTGGTGAGGGACCTTTCTGAAAGGCTTTCTGAAAATCTAAATACACTATATCCACTGGATTTCCTTTGTCCACATGCTTGTTGACCCCCTCAAAGAATTCTAGTAGATTGGTGAGGCATGATTTCCCTTTACAAAAACCATGTTAACTATTTCTCAACAAATTATGTTCATCTACGTGTGACAATTTTGTTCTTTACGATAGTTTCAAGCAATTTGCCTGGTACTGAAGTGAGGCTTACTGGCCTGTATTTGCCAGGGTCACCTCTGGAGCCCTTATTAAAAATTGGCATCACATTAGCTATCCTCCAGTCATTTGGTACAGAAGCTGATTTAAATGGTTACAGATGACAGTTAATAGTTCTGCAATTTCACATTTGAGTTCATTCAGAACTCTTGGGCGAATACCATCAGGTCCTGGAGACTTATTACTGTATAGTTTATCAATTTGTTCCAAAACCTCCTCTGACACCTCAATTTGGGACAGTTCCTCAGATCTGTGACCCAAAAAGAATGGTTCAGGTTTGGGAATCTCCCTCACATCCTCAGCTGTGAAGACCGATGCAAAGAATTCATTTAGTTTCTCCGCAACGGCCTTATCATCTTTGAGTGCTCCTTTAGCATCTCTATCGTCCAGTGGCCCCACTGGTTGTTTAGCAGGCATGCTGCTTCTGATATGTTTAAAAAAAATTTTGCTATTACTTTTGGAGTCTTTGGCTAGCTGTTCTTCAAATTCTTTTTTGGTCTTTCTAATTATATTTTTACACTTCACTTGCCAGAGTTTATGCTCTTTTCTATTTTCCTCATTAGGATTTATCTTCCACTTTTTAAAGGATGCCTTTTTGCCTCTCACTGCTTCTTTTACTTTGTTGTTTAACCACGGTGGCTCTTTTTTTATTCTTTTACTATGTTTTTTAAATTGGGGTATACATTTAAGTTGAGTCTCTACTATGGTGTCTTTAAAAAGTTTCTGCGCAGCTTGCAGGGATTTTACTTTCGGTACTGTACCTTTTAATTTCTGTTTCACTAACCTCCTCATTTTTGTGTAGTTCCCCTTTCTGAAATGAAATGCTACAGTGTTGGGCTGCTGTGGAGTTTTCTCCATTGGAGAAATGTAATTATATTATGGTCACTATTACCAAGTGGTCCAGCTATATTCACCTCTTGATGAGGAATGAGGACATCTCCTTAGCTCAATTAATTTGTTAGTATGGGTAGTTTGTTGATCATGTTTCTCCTTTTGTATTGCTCTCTTTCAGGGGTTTATCTGTGAAGACTACTTCCACCATTCCCTCACCACATAGCACTTGAGGTGTATCTGGCAATATTTTCTGGATGGCATATGCTTGGTCCAGGGACCTTCTGTCACCAGATTCCTAAAGTCTATAAATCTATCTCTAGCCAGAGTTAAGGCATTTCTTCCACTTAAGGGCCAAGGATTGCTTTAGGGTTTAGATGCTTTATGTATTTGACCACTTTATCAGGATGTTAAGGTGGAAGAGCACTTGAGCCCAGAAGCAGAGAGGGACAGAAGGTTGCCTTACAGTAAGTGCACACTAGGACCACTGCTTTGATGCATTGGTGCCAAACAGTAGAGGTGCACCAGAACACCAGTGTCTCAATGTATCTGAGACACTCTGGTAATTGGAACTTCTACCTTGGCACCTCATCATAAAGCAGAAGAGGCATCAATGCCTTGGCCTAAATATATTAGCGCCGGGGGGAAAGAGGAACTCTGGTGAGTAACTACCTCTGCCTAGACTCAGCAACACCATGTAGTGGTAGTAATCTTAAGTATACCACCTCTGCCTCAAAACCCCAGCAACAGGCAGGAGGGGCACATTGACGTATCTGCCTCAACACATTGGCACCACACAGAAGAGGCACTCCAGTGCTTTGTCATCTCTGCCTCATACTGGTGGCATACAAGAGAGGCATCCTGGCTCACTGGTTTCAGATGAAGAGGTGCATTTGCCTCAGAATAATCACACTGATATGATGAGGCATTTTGATGAATCTGTCTCCACCTCATTGCATAACTATTTTGATA